TCAAGCTTCATTTATCTGTCAAGGTGTTCGTCGCTTGACCTCGACATGATCAAGGGCTAGCTCGGTTCAAGTCATGAGCCCAACAAACAACCCGGTCCGTCTTTCAGACCTCGGGCTAGCCCAATTGCGTGATCTAGGACCTTGGTTATTCGCACACTTTTACTTCCACTGCGCTAGTACCTCGGTCCAGAGTGTCGGCCTCATTTCACTTGAGCTAAGACCTTGGCCCACTACTTTAAGTAAATAATGTTGTTTTTATATAAATAATTAAGGCTAGCTCAGTTCAAGTCATGAGCCCAACAAACAACCCGGTCCGTCTTTCAGACCTCGGGCTAGCCCAATTGCGTGATCTAGGACCTTGGTTATTCGCACACTTTTACTTCCACTGCGCTAGTACCTCGGTCCAGAGTGTCGGCCTCATTTCACTTAAGCTAAGACCTTGGCCCACTACTTTAAGTGAATAATATTGTTTTTATATAAATAATTAAAATGGTGGGTGAACAAAATATTTTTTCTCTCACGGTTAGAAGTGTAATTAGAATTGAAAAAAAAAAAAGAGTGAAAATCATGATGGACTTCGGAGTGGGAAAATTCTATTTCCACAAACTTAATTAGCTTAGAGCACATCTTTTCTCAATACACATCTATTAATTTGATTATTAATTAATTTTCTCAATCCACAGTTACAATTATACCCTTCATTCATAATTATTGTACACACACCACTAACCCTTATTTCCACACACTTTTGCTATGTATAAATGTTGCTATATATATATATATATATTTTATTTTTTTTGGATGCTGTTGTAAATCATCTATTTGGAGATCAAACCTTTCATTAGCTAAAAAATCGAAACCTACAATTTTTTGATAGTTTAAATTTAGTCTTTCATGTAAATCATCTATTGTATTTGTTGATATTTTTTAGTCCTTTCGAAGAATTCAACTTTTGAAAAAAAAGAGATTTAGTGGTTGTTTGGCATATACAAAAATAGCACATGTTATTTTACTACATTATCCTATTTTGGTCACAATCATCTTATTTAAGTCACATCACCTCTCTACCATATCTCTTTAAACCCAACTCATATTTCACATTTTTTCTTAAAAAATTAAAAAGTATACTAATCCAACACTTTTCAAACAACCCTAACTGAAAATCACCCAGATTTTATCTATGAGTGAACTCTTACCTTGTGAGAACATGTGATTGGAATGTGTTTCGATCTGAGATTTATGTAGAGATTTGTTGAGGGAAAAAATAGGAAGGGAAAAGAGAAATTGCTGTCTTTCTAAAAATGTTAGCAAAAAAAACGCAGAACTCTTTCTCCTGAAATTTGAACTCCCTTGGAACTCATCTCCTTTAATTTATTTAATTTGTAAGCAATAAAGGAGTATAGAGTATGTAATATGTAAAGTAACAACAATGAAAAAATTAGGATTTAATTTTTTTAACTCAAAAAGTGTATATTGAGATTTTTTTTGTTCTCAAAAGATGTGTACAGAAATTTTTTTCATATAATATTATGGGTGTTGTTGGATATCTATTATGGTCATTTTTATTTAGGATGTAATTGTTATTAAATTAATATTTTATTAAGTGTGTGCCTTAAGCTAAGTATGTGTATGAAAATAGAATTTTCTTGGGGAAATTACCCATAGGTCCCATGTGGAACATGTGGACACCATTTAATCCCATAACTTTTTGAGTACACCCAAAAGTCCTTTCCCCTCTCTCTCTGCTTTTTGCTTCCCTCTTTACGCTTCCTCCTCTAACCCTAATCTCAGTCCTAAATTCAAACAAGAAGGCGATGAAGAACAAGAACAAGAAGACGATGAAGAACAAGAACAAGAATCAGAACAAGAAGACGCTCATCCTCAAATCTGTGCTTAGATTAAACAGATTTGTGTATATATCTTTGTCAATTTCTCTCTCTTTCTCTCTTTCTCTCTCTATTTACAGATTTTTTTGGGATAGTTGTTGATCTATGGTTGTTGTTGTTGATGATGAAATAGATTTATAATACCATTGAAATAGATCTGTAATGACTCAGATTTGTACAGATATCACACAGATTTGTAATGAGAAAATTTTCGAATTCTGAACAAGTAATTTTCGAGTTTTAGTTACAGGCGGTGAAAATTGTAAAATTTTGCAGATTCAATTTTTTTTTTTGGTGCTGGAATGAATCATGGTTTAAAACTGTAAAATTTTGCAGTTTTATAACATTTTTTAGAACTGTAAAATTTTACAGTTTCATAACATGTTTTAAATATTCCGACGAGTCTCCGGCGATGTTGAACATTCCGACGAGTCTCCGGCGACCGTTTGATGGAAGTCCGACGGTAGTAAGATGTGAACAGTGTCTGTAAATTAAAAAAAAAAGGATTTTTCGGTAACAATTAAAAATATATTGGACTAATTAGTGTAAATATTTTATTTTGATATTAGCTGAGTTTTGAACTTAGTACATGGGACTTATCAGTAAGTTCCCCAATTTTCTTTTGGAATGGGCTAAATAATTGCCAAAATTTCAAATCTGATTTTAACGTAGCCCTTGAGAATTGCCCTGCTTTATAGCCATAAAAATATGGGCCGAAATCGGGCTGGACTTCGGAATGGGCTAAATCATTTCCAAATTTTCAATTATGATTTTAATACGGACCATGATAATTAGGCTCCTTCACAATCATAAAAAAACCATGGGAAAATATTCGGCCCATGTATATTCTTTAACCACGAAAATAACTGTACACGTCGACTCAACATCAGCCCATGAAGTTTCAAATGAACCCTTCATAGGCATGAAATCATGAAGAAGGGGCAAAGCACTTTGGGCTTATGGCCCACCCAAATAGAACAAGAAAAATGGAAAATTACATATCAGTAAAAAATTGGGTGAATAATTACAAGGGTAAGTTTCCAGTGCAAGTGTAGTGTTATTTTTTTTGAACATCAAAATTTAGATTATGAAACCAAGGCTAAAGCCTTACACAGCCCTTTGGGAGGATTACAAAACCAATTAGAGGATAGAACACCATTAAGAAAGGCCCTAGCAGTCCAATGAGCAGCATTGTTAGCCTCGCAAGGAGTTCATAAGAAAGAGAGATTACACTTGTTCGCCAACCTTCTAATATCCTCGATGATGGGAGCATAACTCCATGGCGGATCATTCTCGTACACACACACATAGATCACATTTTTGTTATCACCAACAATTTCCACCTAAGAAAGATTAAGGGATCCGGCCATGAGACGCCCATCTAACAGCCATAGCTTCAACTTGCATGATTGACCCCACTTCCTCCATTCGAACTGGCCGTTCCAAAACAGAGCCTTTACAATCTCAGATTAAAATAGCCATGGATGCTCTCGAAGTGCCAGGCTTGATAGCCACATCTCAATTGGCTTTAAACCTCCGTCCACACCCTTGATGCTTCTTGCAAAGAACTCAAATTACTAGATGTTTGTTGACTGAACATAGACATACTAGCGAAATCATCATAATCCTTCCCAGCTTTGAAGATGATGGAACAAGGGTCAATGGGATGACGGTCAAAGACAAAGTGATTTCGGCTATTCCAAATGTGCCATGCCAACAATAGCATCTTGCAAAAATATTCCACCCGATCCTTGCTACTTTCAAAAGCTTGAAACACCTCGCAAGTCCTCCTTTCGAGTCGAGCCAATGGTCTGTGTGTTAAGAGTGATATTTAAACTACTTTCAAACCATATTGCCCTCGTCCAGTCACATCCACGTATCAAATGCTCCACAGTCTCTATTTATTTTTAGCAAATAGGACACACTTCATCTTTAACACACTTACACCGAAAAAGATTAGCTTTAGAGGCCAACAAATTGTTACAATTATACCACCCGAAGTGTCGAAGCTTAAGAGGAATCGGGAGTGCCCGTATGAATTTCCAAAACCTGAAAGAGGCGGATAACCTATCCCCAGCTTGATGCTGTTGATATTCAACTTCTATTATGTACCCAAACTTGCCTGAAAAGGTTCCTTTAAGCGATTAAGGGATTTGGAGAGAGATTTGAAAAGAAAAAAGAAAAAAATATATGAAATTATCTAAAATATAAGTATATTTTATTCATATTTCACCTATATTTTTTATTTCCTTTTCCAAATCTCTCCTCAAATCCTCCAATCAAACACAGTATTAGGATCATGGTGCATGATAAGAAGATCAACTTGGTCTTCAGTTATAATGGGAATCCCACAAATCTTTTCCACCTCTTCGTGATAGACCAAACACTACAAGAAATAACACATTTGCCGACCAAAAAATTAGTCGTTAAAAGCCCATTTTTAGTCGGTAAAAATTATCCGCAACTAATTTTTTTGTCGCTACTTTGGTCGCCAATTGAGGGTCGGCAAAAGCAATTCGCGACCAAAATTTTTGTTGGTCTGAAAAAGTTAGATTTGCTGACTAAATTTTTAATCGCTAAATATATCATTTCCACGACTAATCCATTTTGTCGCTAAAACACTTCGGTCGCAAAAAGTGATATTTTTCCGACCAAATATCTTAATCGCCAATTGTCACATTCCATAACCAAACAAATTAGTTGCCAAAAGTGGAGGAATCGCTGACTAACAATTTAGTCACCAAAAAGTAAAGAATTGCCGACCAATGATTTTAGTCGCAAAAGTATAGAATTTGCCGACCAATTTTTTAGTCGCCAAATCTCTTCTTTTTTTTTATTTTTTTGAGAATAATCATTTTTTGTTTATAAATATTCAATCTAATATCAAACAAAATTCATTCAACCCAACCATAATTAAGTGCCAATCCTTGACTTATATGTGTAATGAATATACATGGTCACAACAGCATTGGTTCATATATCTATCTATCTATCTATGCCAAAGTCCTTGAATTTCAGAGAAAGATAAAATCATCACTTTTCAAAACTACTCCCCCATTCACACTTACTTACCTAGGTCCTTGAATTTCAGTAATACTTCATTGTACTTCAATGTAGAAAAGGACAATTTATAAACGATATAAAATTGGTACCATTTTTCAAATTGAACAAATATTATAGGACATCAAAAAAAAAAAAAAACAGATACATGGGTTGTAACAGGCAGATCTACCCATCTTCTTTTGTGTATATGTAAACACCAGAGAATCCTTCATAAACTCCTCATCCAAATGACCATCAAATTCAGCCTTTTCTGGTACATACTCAACTTCAACTTGCTCGATAACCTATTAGTACCACAACAAACAAAGACACAAGTTAAGAACAATGAATCAATATGATCATTTAAAATAAAAAAGAACAAAAAAGCAATGCCTAATTATCATATTTAACACCAACATAAATCTCAAAATCAAAAACCCAATTCACTAAACGACACTTCCATGAAGATTGAAATCAAACAGAAACAAATCTATTCGAACTTAACTGTTATTAAATGAAAAAAATGATTTACCTGCAGAATGGTCTTTGCTGTCCATGGCACTGTCCAAGGTTCTGCAATAAAAACTACATCTGCAGCCTGAAACATAAGCAGAAAATTACTCACTAATCTCAAACATCATGATAGGAGTTGATTTTACACTTTTACAGTTGAACCTGGCATAGATTTTCTTAATTTCCCTTACAGTTGAACCTAGCAAAAATTTAAAAAAGACACAAGGGGCATTCAAAAAAATAAAATAAAATGACAAACAATGCACACACTTTAGAACTTGATTACAAAATCCACTCATCAGCTTATTCTTTTAGGAAAAGGAAATTAGGACACTCTTCTCAGAAACTAATTACTCCATGGGCAGTATGTCTCTGAGCACGATATTTCCCATGTTCTACTCACTAATTGTCATTAATGGATTGTAGAATAGTCATTCATAATCTTTACATTATTCACATGGGGGTATTATTACATATATTACATGGACAACTAAGAAATCAATGAAGTATCTCAGTCAAACATGACCAGAACTCTTGTTAGAAATTTGATTCTTCTCTAAGAAAAATGTGTGCAAGCACAATATTTCCCATTTCTACTTTCTGATAATTATTATGAATTGTAACACAGTCATTCATATTATTTTTCACGATGGGGTCGTCTAAGAAAGAAATGAAGTATCCCAATCAATAGCCAAAGAAGAAATAACTAAGGCAGGTTCAACAAAGGAAAATAAATGAGAAACCATACAACAAATGGAAAAAGATAAGGTTATTAAATTAGTCAATTATGATATTTTTGGTCTTAACTCATAATAAGTTGGAACCTATTCATTGTTTACCTATTAAAACAATAAAGAAAAATAATTAAGTTGGAAACTAATTAATTGCTTACTTTCACTCACAAGTTAAGTTACATATGTAACAGTCTTCAGAGTACACCTTCATATTCAATTATCGCCTTGCTTGCATGTGCTCAGATTTGAGCTGTTTATGCTGCCATTCAGATATTAAAACAATATAAACTTGAGCTGTTTCGCAAGTGAAAACAACTCACTTTTAAACTATTTACAAAATTTTCAATATAAAACAATTTTTTGTTTACAGTATTCAAATTTTTTATAAATATAATCAGAAACTTGTCAACAAACTCTAGTTGTAGTGAATATAAACCATAGATACTCTTTGTTTGTGGAATTCCTCCTTAAGATTGCTACACTAATTGCAGTAGCAGTTTATAAACTAGAGTATCATAAGGAAGCTAGTCAAATACTAAAGAAATCTTTAACCGGAAGATCAAAGTGTGGGGGATGCACCTCTTCTATTGTCTTCGATCTCTGAGTACTTAGCATGGTGATCTGTTGAGTTGACAAGACGGAATGAGGAAATATTCCCCCATGAATAGAAGAAAGTTCCTTTTGCAGCTCATCAAGCTTATAATGTAATCCTGATGACGTCAAGCTACATTTGGAAGTCTTCGTTATGCCACCTTTACTCTTCTGGTCTCGAGAAACCTCAAGCTTAACAATCTTCTTTCCTGTATATAATGGAATTGAACTTAAAACACAAGTTGCAAAAGAGTTGCATTATCCCAATGTATACACTGGTGTAAACCAGTAAAATACCACTTTTTCATGAAAATTGGCCTTAATGATGCAAGAGAGGAGAGATGAATATGTCAGTACCAGTGTAACTTGTCCATAAGAGTACAAATTCTAGGAATTGTGCTTGGCAAGACAATTTAAGATAGTGTCCCTACTTCAAAAAACGTGTATGAATACCAGACAAGCAAAGAAATACATTCTCACCAAGTTTCAGCTATTATGTATGTTAGAATTTACCTACACCTACCACCACCTACTACCACACCTACTACACCTACCACCAATTTACCCTCACCTACTCCTCACCTACTACCCAAACCCTCTCCTATATAATGAGCTACTCTGCTTTGTAATATAACACATCAATGTATCAAAAAATATAACAATCAATATTACATAAATTTCAACTATGTATTATGGATCAACATGAAAAATCAAATTCATACCTTGCAACACTTGCTTTGCAAGAGGTCCTATTGTTACATAAGAATTTGTGGAATCAGCTGTATGCTGAAATTCTTCTTTCTGCAGAAAAAAACAGAAGGTAATAAACCAAAATATATTAATAAAAAATAAAAATATTACCATATTTCATTTAATGCATCAACCAAGAGACAAGAGGATCTTCAAAACCTAAACACATTAGAAGGAAATGAAAGGAAAGTACTCCTTTTCATTTATAAATTTATTTTCATAGATTGAAATGGTTGGAAAGGAATCTAGAATCTTCGAAGAGAAGATTGATGATCTCACTAGTCTATGGGATAAGATAGTTTAATTGGCTTCATTTTGGGTTTCAGTCTCCTTTCGAGGGAATAACACTCTACTTTCTATTTCTAGAGATTCGAGAGTCGTATGTCGCACGTGATATTTTGTAGTAATTTTGTTGTGGTTTAGTGTTTTTGGTGGATGTCTTGTCCTCTGTTAGTTTTTTTTTTTTGGTGGATGTCGTGATATTTTAACAAAATTTTCTTTCTTGTTGATAAAAAAAAGTTCCAAATTGATTTAAAATACCCACATCATTTATCAAGTAAGAGTTCACAAATTTGAATTCCATGTCTTATCTGATTTATAATCATCATCAACACATGAGCTCATTTTTACAACAATAATGAAATAAGCATCCACAGATATAACGTCTGAAGAGTCAAGCTCCTTACCAAAACACGATCCACTATAAGCTGAATCACAAGTTGCTCTAATTCATCTCTCTGTATCTCTGGACCTGAGGAGTCAAAACAACAACGGTCAATGCTGCTGTATTATGGATGTTCATGTATGAGTCTCAATAATTACTTGAAGGAGAAGCAACATAAAGTGTGTAGTGGTTTTTAAATACAACAAATGTTTACGAGAAAATAAATTGAGGACAATAATACTAAATGAGTTGCCTCAATTTTACCCTCCACTTGAAGGCCAATTATATAGTCCAAAATAGTAAAAAAACACACTTTTTGTGCCGTGTGGACAAAGTAATTATGTTTTTGGCTCAGTTTTGGCAGAATTAGAATTGGAATTGCAAATATAGACTATTCCAATTAAACATATGCATCAAGGTAATAGAGCTCACCAGCATCCTTGTGCTTAACCTTCATCTTGTCCACCAATTGCAACATTATTATTCTTTGATCATTCTCTTGCATATCTTGCAGCAAGGATAACATAACTTTTGCATGTCCTGCAAATTATGCCCACAATAAGCACACAAGCCATTTAGAATTGCTAATGCCCAATGCATGAAATTAGAAAGTATTTTGTGTATTTGGGCATTAAAAATGGAATTAAGAAGTTGGAATTACATAGAGCAGGAGTTGAATTTCAGGGACCTAATCAATTTGAGACCATTCTGTTTTGAGAGTTGATTCCTTTGTGTGTGTGTGTGTGTGTGTGTGTGTGTGTGTTTGATTTGTAATTCCTTCATGTTGTTTTACTCTAATTAATAATATTTCTCTTGTTACTGATCAAAAATCAAAAAATGGAAGGCACAGAGAAGCTTCATTTATTTTCTTCTTATTATAAATACAAAACTAATCATAGATTTTTATTTTTATTTTTAATGTAATGATTATAGGTTGGATGTGATGTTTTGTTTGTTATGGCTAAAATAACCTATTTTGTTTTTTGTGGCTAAAATAGCCAAAAAAGTCTCCAACCCACCTTCCCAAACGGTGCCTTACTCTAATTAATAATATTTCTCTTGTTACTGATCAAAAATCAAAAAATGGAAGGCACAGAGAAGCCTCATTTATTTTCTTCTTATTATAAATACAAAACTAATCATAGATTTTTATTTTTATTTTTTATGAATTGTGATCTATTAATGTCAAGTAAATATACCAGAGACATCCATTTCCTTGGCCTCACTTGAAAACGAATAGTTGTCACACATCCCTGAGCTAATATAAAAACAGAGTTCACTTTGTCATTCCTCAAGTTTATATTGTTTTAATATATGCAAGGCGATATATTAAACAGCTCATAAAATCAATTTCGCAGCCTCACTCTCAACTTCTGCCCTAATAATCGCCGCTCGCCTCTCCTGCTCCGCTTTGGCCACCATGAATTTCAACCTCTCCGCCTCCTGCTGTGCCACCTACTTCTGCTCCACGGCCTTGGACAACTCAGCCCCATACGACAAGTGCATGATCGCAACATCATCGAGAACGATGTTGAAATCCTTAGCACGACGAACCAAGCTCTTGCGGACCAATGCGGAGACGCTGGGATGCTGGATGAGGAGCTGATCGACGTTGAATTGAGCGACGACGGCCTTGAGGACTTCGTTGCCGATCGAATGAAGTACTTTCTCGTTGTATTCGAGGCCTAGGGTTTGGAAGATCGGGGGAGTTGAGAGACCTCGGGGCGAGAGAGGACACGGAGGGTTAGGTTAACCGTTTGGAGGTCCTTGGTGCCGGAGATGGAGGAGAAGGTGTGGGGGCGAGTTCGGATGTCGAAGATGAAGGGCTTTTGGAGCCATAGAATGAGGGTTTGAGAGAGAGAGATGTGAATAAGAACGAATTAACTAGGGCTAGGGGGTGGGCGCGGGTCGGTTGCGGCCACGAAACCTCCAATCCGTCATCCGTCCGTTAGATTGGCGGATTGAAGAAAATCTCGGGGGAGTTGAGAGACCTCGGGGCGAGAGAGGACACGGAGGGTTAGGTTAACCGTTTGGAGGTCCTTGGTGCCGGAGATGGAGGAGAAGGTGTGGGGGCGAGTTCGGATGTCGAAGATGAAGGGCTTTTGGAGCCATAGAATGAGGGTTTGAGAGAGAGAGAGAGAGAGATGTGAATAAGAACGAATTAACTAGGGCTTTGTTTCAAAAAGAAAACGCAGAGCAAATTATTAGAGAAGAGACCCCGTTTAGTAAATTCAATCTAGGTGGCTGTTTCAAAGACTCGTCTAAATTAAATTGAAAAATTATATATATACCATCACACCAGAAATTGTGATGGAAATATATAATCACATTTATTTAAAATTTGTGATAAAAAAATATTATTTTACTGATTAAATTAAGTATGATTAAAAATTAAGTGTGAGATATTTTTAATTCTTCTTATGTGATCTTTAATCACATGTTAATTAGAAAATGTGATTAAAAAAATATATATATATAATCACACTTAAAAAGTGATACAAAAAATAAATATTATCAAAACAGAGGGGAGATTAGGGTTTTTATAAAAAAAAAATTCTTGTTTTCCTGGTACAAAACGACGTCGTTTTACAATCGGTGACCAAATTTTTTTGCTGCAAAAAAAATTTAATTCCCGCCTTCACGTTTCAAATTTCTCTCCCAAACTTTTGGCGATCAAAAGACTAGATTAGTCACAGAAAAGGTACTTTCGCCGACAAATTTTTTTAGCCGCCAAATCTCAATTAATGGCGACTAAAATATTAGTCTCTAAAAGTACTAATTTGTCGACTACTTTTTTTGGTTACTGAAAATAAGTTTTTGACGACCAAATTTTTGGTCGCCAAAGAAAAAAATAATTTTTTATTTTCCATTCAGCGACTAAAATTGTTTTAGTAGTCAAAACTCAATATACGGCAACAAAAATATTTTTGGTCGGAAAAAATAAGTTTTTTAGCGACTAAAATTTTAGTCGCCAATTCCACAACCAACTTATTTTTGATCTTCCGCGACCAACTTATTTTTTAGTCACCAAAATATGACCTTCTGCGACCAAATTTTTAGTTGGTCGCCGAAAGCATATCACTTTCTGCGACCAACTCATTTTTTGGTTGCCAAAATATGACCTTCTACAACCAACTCATATTTGGTTGTCAAAAATAATGATCATTCACAATCAATTAATATTTGGTATCCAAAAGGTAACTTTTAGCTACCAACTTTTATATTGATCGCAAAAAGTGGTCGCTAAAAGTGCAAATTCTTGTAGTGAAACTATGTAATACATTTTTATTCCAACCTTTGGTAGTAGGGTTAATGGCTTCACTGACTGTAGAAACATTACATCCGTTGGGTTTACGAGATTTTACTCAGAAATTTTTTGAAGAAGCTACCACTTGTCTTCCCAGAACTTGATGGACTTTCCATTGCAAACCTGCCAACGGATGCCCCGATTAAGCACCTCACAACCCTCCAAGAGACTTGCCCAAGCCCACGTCGCCCTAGCTCCTTTTCTAGCATTCCAAAATCTGTGTTTGGGTAATACAGATCTTTAAGATATTGACCACAAAAGGAATTAGGGTATTTGCACAACCGCTATCCTTGTCGAGCCAACAACGCTTTGTTGCAAGTTCTAAAATCCCGAAACCCCATCCCTCATTGCAGCTTTAACATGGACATCTTCTCCCATGAGGCCCAATGAATACCTCTACTCTCGGGATCTCCTTTTCACAAAAAATTGCTCAACAAAAAGTTCAAATCAGCGCAAAGCTTATTATGAAATATGAAGTAAGCCATCGCATGGGTGGATAAAGCTTAGGCGACCAATTTAAGAAGAGTTTCCTGCCTCGCGTGGGACAATAATTTAAGCTTCCATCCCTAAAGTTTGTCCAACACCCTTTCTACAATAAAATTGTAAGTCTCAAGCTTGGACCTCCCCCAACAAGCTGGCAGTCACAAGTGATAGTTGTGTCATAAGTTATTTAATGCAACGCGCAAAAAAAAAAAAGAAAAAAAAAAATCACCAACAAATAAACATTATCAATCACTTTTAAGATTTGTTCATTGTTGCAATAGGTAATTGTGGTACATTAATTACTGTTTTTACATTACAAAACAAAAATATTATGAATCTGAGGTGGTCACCTAGTATATACAAGTGTATTTAGCAACGTTGGATCTTGACCATAAATCATATATGAGTAGAGATTTGAAATCTTTGTCAATGGCAAGCCGATGAAGGAGACGGGAGAACCAGTAATAACTAACATAGTGATGAACAAGAGAAAGAAAATGAGAAATCGTAAAAGAAATGAAAGGGGAAGGTAGGTTAGAAGTACCACCCTCTCCCTCTTAAATAATAGGTAAAGAGAGAGAGATCGACTGAGATTTCTTAGAGAAGGGGGCTTATGAAGATAGCTTTAGGTCTGTTGAATAAATGAATTATATTTGTATATGTTAGTTGATACTATCAATTTTGTCGAGTTGATGTTAGTAATACAAGAGATACATTCCATTTCTTCTTTTTTATTTAATTTTAAAAATCGATGAGGTATGTATATTTTTTTATTTATTAGATTATGTCAATAAAAAAATTAAGTTAAAATGACAGTGTAATCAATTGAATACTGAGATCTAAAACAAAATTTGAAAAACATGAAATTCCTCTTACAATTTTCATATTTGTTACATTTTTTTACATATTTAAAAAAATATTACATCAATTTCAGTATTGAACAATACTGTGATAACACTTGTTAGCCTTGATTATTTTCAAATAACAATAAATAGACCCTCTAAAAGAAACAAAAACAAAAGAACAATAAATAGAAAATACAAAATTGTTAATTAACTTGAATCTGAGAAACATTGGAACCATACAAATACTAATTGCATGATTCCTTCTTATCGCCTTGCCATGTACAATAATATATGCCTAAATCTTGCATATCTCTATTGTTGTAAGATTCTCCAGAGGATTTATTTATTTATTTATTTATTTAGTTTTGGTGTATTGGATTCTCTACAGATGAGCCCCACCACATCCCCATGTGAAAAAGTGCTTTTTGCCATTTAGACTTTAGTGTTTTGGGCTCCAAACGTGTTTTATGCTAAATCAATTGCTTTCACATTTGATTTGAACGTGCACTTAGTCAATGTATGATGTGGAAGTTGTAACCATCCCCAACTTTCTTTTAATTATAATAATATAGATCTTGTTTTGCCTATGAGTGTTTTCAACCTTTTGGTTAAAATAGTTAAAAGGGTAAAATAAATTAAAAAATTAATAAGATAAAATATTATATTTAAATTATAATCATTTTATTTTTACTCTTATAAAAGTTTAAAAGATTAAAAAAATCTATCTCAAACGAGATTTTTTAGTCTCAAGTTGTAACCAAAAAGTCAAAAAGGCAATCCATATTCCAAAATCAAAGAGTAAAAAATTAAGGTCAGGCTTGTCTCCAGTACTGAATGGTATTGTTGAGTTTGTGGGGTCATCACATGTCTTATTTTAATAATTCAAATCAGTTAATATGTAGAAATCATTGAGTACTTTATTCATGTAAAAAATCACATTAATCGGATATCGATAACTACTTGATCGGATCAGATTTTTGTCAACAATTTATTTTGAAAATTATATTTACCGTTGACAGAAATCTTGTCCAATCAAGTAACTATCGATATCCAATCAACATGATTTTTTTCAGGGATAAAATACTCGACGAGCTCTACACATTGAACGACTTAAATTATGAAACAGGACCCGTGATGGGCCTCTATGAACCCGTGATGGGCCTTTATGAACCCGTGATGAGCCTCCACGGCTCCAATAACACGTTCTAATTCAATTTCAAACTGGAGAGAAACCTGATTCAAAAATTAATGTCTTCTTAAAAATCTTTCTTTAGAAAGTAATAACATTAAAAGTTATCATATCATTTTGCTTCATCTTTTATCTATATTTTTTAAATCACCACACTTTTCAAAAGAAAAAGAGAAATATATAACTTTGAACCTTAATGTAATTTTTTAAAAGTTAAAAATTAATAATCATAAGTATAAATTAAAAGCATATCACTATTAATTTCTCAATAATTAATTTTTTTAAACATTTTATAATTATTTATACTTTATAAGTTATAAACAAAAATAATACAAAATATACTAACACAATTATATAAATTGTATCAAACAATTTTATTTTACACCGAGACATTAGAGATTATAATGTTGCTGAAGGCACAATTAATTGAGAATGGCAAGCGCATAGTTCTTGTTAGAGCATCTCTAAGGGATGGCTAAATCAGCTGCCAAAGCCATAATATAGCAGCTTAGGCAATCTTGGCTTCTCCAATGGCATGCTATAACAGCTGTCAAATTTGGCAACTGCCAAATCAAGTGCCAAATTTGACAATTACCAAATCTGCCAAGTCACCAAAAATTAAACTGTTTTCTTTCTTCCCTCCTTCCCTCCTTCATTTTCAGTTGGGATTTTCCAGAATGCATGAAGTTTTATATAAAAATATTGAACAAGAATGAACAAGAATTCATCAATATTCCAAAATTCATCAATATTCATCAAATTCATCAAATTCATACCAAATTCAGCAAATTCATCAGGAATTTCAGCAAATTCATCAATATTCATATTAAATTCATCTTCAAAAGTTTCAGCAATATGAACAAGAATATCAACAAGTTTCGAAAATACTAACAACAATATCAAATTAATTTCAGCAATATTAGCAAATCAATAGATTTCAGAAATAACAGATTTAAAAATTTTCACAAATACCAACATAAATAATCTCAAATTAATTTCTCAAATAATCCATTATGAGTTTTAAAAGAAAAATACCTGGATTTGATGGGGGCTACGACTTCAATCTGAAAAGGGTTGAAGAGGGTTGGAGAAGATGGTTGAAGAGAGAGAGAAAAAGAGAGCTTCAAATGAGAGAAGATGGGGGATGATCATTGATTCGAAGATGAAGTGGATGATCATTGATCCGAAGATGAAGTGGAAGATGAGAAGATGCTGATCCGAAGCTGATCTGAAGAGGATGATCATTGATCATGAATTCGGCTCTCATCTTCACGGATCTGAAAGCTGATCCGAAGTTCATCCGAAGCTCTCTCCCTCTGATCTTCACTGATCCGAGAAACATGGCTGATCTGAAACAGAGATTCGAAGCTCTCTCCCTCTGATCTTCACTCATCCGAAATTTATCCGAAGTGTGCT